ACTGGTGCCATCGCTATTGCAAGAGATCTGATGGTTACTAACAAGACTAGATACATTTAATGAAAATTCAATTTCATTCGTCAAGAATTAGAATTGGGAAATGTACGCATTGAAAAGATTCATACATATGATAATCTAGCATATCCGTTTACAAAGGCTCTACCTCAAATCAAGTTTGAGAGTCATGCAAAAGGAATTGGTCTACGATTAGCTAGTGATTGGATTTAAATCTGTAGTTGACTAATATCTGGATATTTAGAACTATGTAACAATGATATGTAATCTCTCTTAATATGAGATCACTTTTGTGTTGAATATTATTGTGTTCTATATTAGCATGTTATTAAATCCTTGAATAATGTAATTATTCAAAATTTGTCCATAGTTAGTCACTGTTGCGGGAGAAACTGTGAGTTAAGACTAATATGAATCGGCTTGGTTGATTTCAAGAGGTAAAATAACAAGGTGTTGCATCCAAACTCATATGTACTTGTTTGAGAACAACTATTGGAAATGACCCGCATCAAGAATCACTTCATGGATCGATATCATAAGTGAATCTTGATCACAAGTAAATATCTTTATGTCTTTTGACCTGAGATACATATTGGAGAACTCAAGTATGGGGATGGTTATACTTTGACATGGTTAAACGTTGTTCGTAACCGTGCAGTTATAAAAGCCTTCGTTGGGTAGAGAATGAACTATATGAGAGTATGTATGTAGTCAAGATGGGATTTGTTCCTCTTATGTGTTGAGAGTTAGACATCTAAGGCGCCTTTTTTATAAGTTGGATGGCAAATGAGAATGATCATGTTCCATGTCTCATATCCAACATGATGTATGTAACAAATAGATTATTGATACACTTACCTTATACTTCAATTGTAGCTAGTGAGCTCCTGGAATTGGATGTTGATTGATGGCACCCCTTCGTGTGTTATTAGGGGCAGTAGCCCATTGCTAGATGTCAGCTACTGTCTATGTCAATCTTTAATGAATCTTGTGCAAGTGGGAGATTGTTGGATCTATATGCCCAAGAATCATTATTGAGTGACATTGCTCATGACATATAATACTATAGGTTCACACCTTAATCAAGTTGGTACTTATTGAATATTTATTATATATTTGATATTAATAAATAAATTCAACTCTTGTATTTAATTAGAGAAAAATTATTCTTCTATGAAAACAATATTGTAAGAACTAGAAAAATAGTCTTTATATGATAAGGTATCATATAATAATTCATGTACAAAGTTTTGGACACTTTGGTTAACCATGA